CACAGCTATGCAATCTAACACATGCAGTTAGGAGGATTAGTAAAGCATACCGTGAATGTAGAACCCCAGACCTGCTCAGAACGTTCCAAGCTGCACTAACAAATGCAAGGAATAGAAAGCAAGAACTTAGGCAACAGGAATGGGAACAGTTTGTTAGTGGATTAAATAGGTCCACCCCTTTAAGTTTGGCTTGGAAAGGTATAAATAAAATAACCAGGAAAAAGAATGGCAATGTTGCTCATTCCTTTCCTCTTGAAAAAGCAAATGACCTCATAAATGACTGGTCCAAAACATCCAGGCATGAAAACCTTCCATCTCATATTACAAAAAATTTAGAGAGTACTTCTGAAGAAATGTTGAAACTGATTAATTTTATGAGCCAAAATATTGATGGGAGTGATTGCCTCTTTACCGAGTATGAATTAAATAATGCATTAACTGAAGGTCGATCAACTGCTCCTGGAGAGGATGGTATAACCTATGATATTCTCAGGAGGCCTGGTCACAGGCCGGGCCGCGGGGGCGTTGACCCCCGGAACTCTCTCCAGGTAAACTCCAGGTAAACTCTAAGGCACATGCCTGATAACCCTTTGTTGGCACCGTATAATCTCAGTTACATTGAGGGCGTTCTTCCTACTTCCTGGACCAATAGTCTCATTGTGCCTATCCCTAAGCCCCAACAGCCTGATACATTTAGACCGATCTCCTTAACTAGTTGTCTTTGTAAAACTTTTGAAAGAATGATACTTAACAGACTGTACTACAGAATCAGACACCAACTTTCCCCCTACCTCTATGGGTTCATGAAAGGTAAAAGTGTGCAGAACTGTATTTCCACCTTTCTCACTGCACACACCTCTACTAGTTTTACCACTTTTCTTGATCTAAAATCTGCATTTGATATTGCGAACAGAACCGTTATTCTACATGAACTAGCCAAAATGAATATTGGTGGTAGCTTACTCTGCAGGATAATAGGATACCTGTCAAATAGAGTATCCTCTGTCCTTTACCAAGGCTTCAGAAGTGATTCTAAAGATATGTCTTTAGGTACACCGCAGGGAGGAGTTCTTAGTTCCATGCTATTTAATATTCTGATTAATGCTCTCCTAAATACTCTACCTGCCTCACCTAAACATATAGCTATAAGCTATGCTGATGATATCATGATCCATACAACAGGGCATAAGAAGATGAATACCATTCTTAATGAAGTTCAAGCAATTTGTAATCGACTAGGCCTCATAATATCTTCCTCTAAAACAAAGATATTAACAAGCAAACGACATCCCCCACCCATCTATTTGCAGGGTGAAATCATTAGCTACGTTAAAACTTACAGATATCTTGTAGATGTACCCTTTAACAAATCCACTATACCACAACTAAACAAGAAATGCAAAGTTAGGCTAAATGCTCTCAAAGCTGTTGCTGGCTACAACCCCAACTATAGTGCTAATGTGAGAATCGTGAGAATGATGCACATAGCACGTTAGGTCCTTAATTGATTATGCTGCTCCCATTTTGATATTAGCTAGAGAAAGTTCTCTCCGACCCTTGGAGTTAATGCAAAATGAAGCTCTCAGGATTATTCTTGGCTGTCCCAGATCTACAAAAGTTCTTAACTTGAGGAAGGAGTTTGGTATTTCTAGTATCAGTGACAGGATTATTGAGATTAACACTGTACTCAGTATTAGAATGTTAAGAAACGAACCAGACACTGTCACAATGAATCTTACCAAGTGTGTAGAAGTAAATACACACAGATCTAAATGGATTGTGAAAACGTGCAATTACATTAAGTTTTATAACCTGCATGAACTGTATCATTGTAGGCAACAAGAGCATTTCACCCCTCCGTGGAAGATGTGTTCATTTAATATCACATACCTGCAAGTCCCTCCCAAGAAGCTCATTGCTAGTAATCCCTTCCTTAAATCTCTTGTTAGAGCAACTGCTCAAGAAGAAATTTCTCACCTAGCTGGTAGTAATAAGTTATCACAAGTTATACACACTGATGGATCTAAACAGGAGTCTTCTGGCAGGGCTGCAGCTGCTCTTGTTGCCACCTTCCTTGTTAAAAACGATAATAAATTTGTTGAGTAAGGCATAAGAATTAACAACTGGGTGTCTACACTGCAAACTGAATTGTTTGCAATCCTAATGGCGCAAAAGCTAACCTATGACACTGAGTTTGACTCTATCATCATTACTGATTCTATGTCATCATTGAAGGCTCTTGACTCATATAATGACTCCAACAACATGCTTATTGGAGAAGCCAGGTATAAATACTCAAAAATTAGGGACAAAGGAATTAATGTACAATTGCTATGGATCCCATCACACATTGGATTACTCCTTCATGATAAAGTTGATATGTTAGCCAAGAAGAGTACCCAGAAGGAGAATGTAGAATATAACTTTGGTATAACTGTGTCTAGCATTAGGAATAATATTAGGAGAGAAGTAAATAATGAAAATGATTGTTATAGGAATGCAGTTAGAAGCCTGAGTAGATCTATAACCCACTATGATAACATGAACGTAGATAAGTACAGTGCACCCCCGCTTAACGATCACCTCCAAATGCGACCAATTATGTAAGTGTATTTATGTAAGTGCGTTTGTACGTGTATGTTTGGGGGTCTGAAATGGACTAATCTACTTCACAATATTCCTTATGGGAAAAAATTCGGTCAGTACTGGCACCTGAACATACTACTGGAATGAAAAAAGTTCGTTAACCGGGGGTCCACTGTATGTTTATGGCGCAACATGTAATGTGAACAGACTGACTGATGTTGTAGTGGCCAGGCTTAGGCTTGGTTACAAGTACTTCTGGCAGTTTTGGGAGAGACACAGATGATGATCAAACTAAATGTAAATTATGTGATCAGGCATATGGTCACTCTCTTGAACACTATGTGCTTAATTGTCCACTTATTGAGGAATACAGAGACAGACAGTATAATAACCTATGTGACATGTCAAGATACACCTACCATCCGACTTATGACCGAGTTCGGTTCCGAGAAACCGGTCGTAAGTCGAAATGGTCGTAAGTCGAAATGGTCGTAAGTCGAACTTTACTACTGAATATCAACAAAACATTTTTATAATGACTTTATTTTATTGTTTTATTTTCGTATTTCATGTTTTACTTGACATTTTATGTTGTTAGTACTGTACTTTATACTGTAAGGTTTAGGATAAACACTGTGTGCAACACAAATAGTTGTTTATTTCCCAGAAATTTGGCATAAAAAACACGGTCGTAAGTCGAGTGGTCGTAAGTCGAGCAGGTCGTAAGTCGGATGGTAGGTGTATCTTATTAATGAAAATAAGATACCAGATATACTAAGCAAATTTCCTAAATTTGCTTGTAACAGATAAGTGAACTATAGATATGTAGATATAAATCCATATGTATTCCTGCTAACCCTTTGGGGCCTAGTTCCTAGGCCTTTTGTGTATCCATATGCTCTCGTGCTACCGTCCACAGGATGGATATGGGGTGCACAATAAACTAGCCACTTCGGTGGCAAAATCTAAATCTAAATCTTTTACCAAAGAGCTGGCACTAGAAGCTTTCTTTGGAGCCATGGTGACTTATTTAGCAGTTGCAAGCATTAAAACAAATGGAATATTATGAAATGTATCGTATGAACTTGTGGGATCATCCTCACTCACTGATAAACAATAGCACACTGGCTGGTGTGAGGTGGCTAGGGGCCATGTGTACATGTCCCAGATGAACGACTATTTGTGAGTCAATGTTTTGATGAAAAAAGTTACGACTTTCGAGCCTTACGAAAAATGAGGGTCCACTGTATTATTATAATTATTATTGATAATAATTTAGGAAACTGAAGCTCTATTATTATAATCATTATTTTATTATTATTATTATTGTTAATTTAGGGAACTAGAGCATATATCCAATTCCCTAGATGAAGAGCCCCTCACCAGCGTCAAGGAACCTTGATGCTGGTGAGAGGTTTCAGTTCCCTAAATTATCAAAAATAATAATTATAATAATAATTATTACAATAATGATAAAGCTTCAGTTCTCTAAATTAATAATAATAATACATTATTATAACGAGAGCTTCAGAATGAAGCCAGCTCAGTGCAGTTTACCTAGCTGTGGGAGCAGTTCTCTCCTGGTTTGCTTACATTTTTGACAGTCATTTGTCCAAGTTTCGCTTTTCTAACCATGGGTCCTAAGAAAGTAGGTGTATAGGACAGTGCTGAGAAGAAACAGAGGATGATTTCCATGGAATTAAAGCATGAAATCATAGATAAACAAGCGAGATGTCCAGGTTTTGGGTTGAAAGGGAAGCAGGGGGAGATGGCTCGTAACTCAAAGCAAAAAAATCAACCCAGGGAGGACTCGTATCTCAAAAACTTGTATGTTGGGACACTCATAAGTCAAGGATCCACTGTATTATAATCTTTCAAGACAAGTGTTTGTGTTTTGGTACAAGTGTGGGGGAGGGGCGGAATAATGCTGTGACTAGCACTGTAGTTGCAGTGTTCATGAGGAAACAAACTTTCATAAATCAAAACTTGCATGAACAGGAAATATAAATTTGAGGGACATGATCATTTACACAGTTGGAAGACAGAAACAATTGTTCTCCAGATAGTTCTTCCACATCTTATTAGATAACATGTTATTACATTTATGAAGGGATTCAGGGAAACCGGCAGGCCGGACTTGAGTCCTGGAGATGGGAGGTACAGTGTCTACACTCTGAAGGAGGGGAGTTAATGCTGTAGTTTTATAATTGTAGTGTAAAGCACCCCTCTGGCAAAACAGTGATGGAGTGAATGATGATGAAAGTTTTTCTTTTTCAGGCCACCCTGCCTTGGTGGGAATTGGCTGATGTGTTAATAAAAAAAAATATAAAATAATGTCTTCTGATCATGATAAGATTTTACTCACAGGAAGATTTCTGATGTGCATAAATCAAATTAAAATGAGAAGACCTCTACACTCTTTTATGATTTATTTACTAAATTGGATGTATGGAAAAACTTTTTAAAATATGTTGAACACTGACATCTCTCTCAAGTATGACTTCTTATGTGTCTTACCATACTTGCTTTTTCATTCAAGTCATTCTGCACACTGATATTGTTTCTCACCATTATGAGTTCTCAAGTGACTAACTAAATTTGATTTTTGACTAAAGTCCTTCAGACATTCTGAACATTGATATGGTTTCTCTCCAGTATGAGTTCTCATGTGTCTTACTAAATTCCTTTTACAAGAACAGTTTTTCAGACAATCTGCACACTGATATGGTTTCTCTCCAGTATGAGTTCTCATGTGTCTTATTAAATCACTTTTATGAGAAATGCCTCTTAGACATTCTGGACACTGATATTGTTTCTCTCCAGTATGCGTTCTCATGTGACTAACTAAATTTGATTTATCAGAAAAGTCCTTCAGACATTCTGAACATTGATATGGTTTCTCTCCGGAATGTGTTCTCATGTGTCTTACTAAATTCCTTTTACTAGCAAAGTCTTTCAGACACTCTGCACACTGATATGGTTTCTCTCCAGTATGAGTTCTCATGTGCATTACTAAATCACTTTTACGAGAAACGCTTCTTAGACATTCTGGACACTGATATGGTTTCTCTCCAGTATGCGTTCTCATGTGACTAACTAAATGTGACTTTTGATTAAAGTGCTTCAGACATTCTGAACACTGATATGGTTTCTCTCCAGTATGAGTTCTCATGTGCCTTACTAAATCACTTTTACGAGAAACGCTTCTTAGACATTCTGGACACTGATATGGTTTCTCTCCAGTATGCATTCTCATGTGACTAACTAAACTTGATATATCAGAAAAGTCTCTTAGGCATTTTGAACACTGATATGATTTCTCTCCAGTATGAGTTCTCATATGACTTACTAAATGTGATTTTTTATTAAAGTCCTTCAGACATTCTGAACACTGATATGGTTTCTCTTCAGTATGAGTTCTCATGTGTCTTACTAAATCATTTTTAAGAGAATAGTCTTTTACACAGTCTGGGCACTTATATGGTTCCTCATCAGTATGAGCTTTTATATGACTTACTAAATAAGATTTTTCAGAAGTCTCTTGGACATCCTGAACACTGACATGGTTTCTCTTCAGTATGAGTTTTCATACTTTGAACTAAATTCTTTTTTTGAGAAATCTCTTTTAGACACTGAATATAGAATTTTTATTTTGCCAATCATAAATGTTGTCACAGATACACAGTGAGGTAGTTGTAAGGAAGATTGTTTTAGCGAGTGTGAATGTTGATATAATGTGCCTGATTCATTAACCCTTTCACTGTCGAGACCCCTGCTCACAAACTTCCTCTCAGTGTCGAAAAATTAAAAAAAAAAAAAAATTTTTTATGAAATGATAAAAGACTCTTTTCCCGATGGTAATGACACCAAAACTATGAAATCTGATGGAAAATTTACAGAATTACGCTCTCGCCCTATTTTCATCCAATTCCATTGTTCCAGTCGACCAAACTCATAGCTATTTTGCTAGAACTCTATTTGTTCTATCTATTGAGTGCAAGAAATAGCCCATTTACTGATTTCAACTACCCAATAAAGTGGTCAGAAATTGGCAGTTTGGCCAATTTCACACAAATTTCAAAAGATGCCAATTTCAAAATATGGTCCAGAATAAACAATGCAGACATTAATTTTTTATTCCCCCAAAAAATAGATTTACTGTCATGTAGACTACCGCATTATTGTAATAATTGTATAATTAATATCAACCCATTCATGACTGCCCATTATACTGGCCAGTTGGACAGATTGGATGGTTTACTCTTGAATATCGGCAAAAATCGAACATTACTGCTACATTGAGCTCAATTTCAAGGTACTTTTCATCGTGAAGCCAATCAAAATCATCTCTATTTCTTTAATATATCTTCCATTCTATCAAATGCGACCAAGAAAAGCAGAATACAACCATAAATACCATAAGAAAATCCACCTCAAAGTTGGCGTTTTAAACCAAAAACACTGTCAGAGTTTTTTTCTCATTATGCACTGCATGCTGAAGGATTTTTTTTATACTGCACACATGACCATGCAGACCCATTCTCTCACATGTAGGTCTACTATGTTTCTCAAGTTAGAGTTGAAGCTTCTAGAATTTTGGAGTATTAGTACGTCATTAACCCTGGCTTGTAAGCTGTACCACTACATCACCAACAGTGAAAGGGTTAACAACTGTGCACTGTGATGCTTCAACACATTGTTTTTAATGTGAATGTTAATTTAGTGTCTCTTACATAAACTGTACATTATTTTGCTTCAACACATTCATTTTCATGTGAATGCTGATTTAGTTGGTCTCCTTCATGAACAACTGTACATAGTGTTGCTTCAACGCATTGTTTTTTAAGTATTTTAGATAGAGTAAATGATAATATTCTCACATTAATTAAATTACTTAAGTAGAATATTTTATTACACTGAAAAAAAAATATTTGTAATATTTTATTATAAATATAACAAGCACTAAACCTGTGAAAGTAGTGCAGTGTCTGAGGAACATGAGGAAGACACTAAGAGATATTTCACGGTTTGTGACACATTAACCTTATGACACTGTTGTTGGCACTGTAAATGTTGTATTACCAAAACTGTTGTTACAGTGTTGTGACTATTAACACTATAATTATTGTTGTCACTATATTAACACTGGTGTTGTCACTGTATTAACACTGTAATATCACTGAATTAATACTGTAGTGTTGTCACTGTATTTACACTAAAGAGTTGTCACTGAGTTAATATCATTGTAGTTTTGTGTTGTTACTTATCATTAACACTCTAGGTAACTTTGTCACTCTATAATCAAATATAACTAGCGTTGTTACTGTATTATTCCCCCTATAGTTATTGTCACTATTATTAACAATGTAGTTAGTGCTGCCATTATATTACCATCATTGTATTTAGTGCTGTAACTTTATATTAATTACAAAATTTACAGAACATTTCTAACACTGATATTGACACTACTAGTGCTAACTTCTTGTGCCATCATGACCTGCATTATTGATACTGCAAGCATCAGGAAGACCTGCAGTACTGATACTACATGTGTCAACCTCTTGAACCAAGTTAACATGTAGTACTGACACTTCAACTTCCTGTTTCTTGGCTTCTTGTTCCACAGTAACTAAAAGTAAGGACAGAATGGCCTGCAGTGCAAACACTACAAGTACCAGCTTCTTGTACCAAGATGAAATGCAGTACTGACACTACACATACCAGCCTCTTGTACCAGGATAAACTGCAGCATTAACACTACAAGTGCCAGCCTCTTGTACCAGGATGACCTGCAATACTGACACTACAAATGCCATTTTTTGGTGCCAGGATCACCTGAAAAAAATTATATATATATATATTTTTTTTTTAACACAGCCATTTTCCACCAAGGCAAGGTGACCCTACAGAGGTGTGCCTTCACTACAGTTAACCCTTTCAAATCAAATCAAATCAAGTTTATTCTCTATAAAGATTACAATGCGGGGTTTACATATTTTAGGATATTGTGTGGTTTGCATGTTATAAAATACTAATTACAGAGGGGGCCACTATTATACCTAGCATGGCTAGGCATTTTGAGAAGACTAAGATTAATTCATAACTCTAAATTAATACAGATTATGGAGCAAGTTGGTATAAAGGCTAAGTAACTACATTACAGTTTGTAAATTTAGAAATGTGAATGCTTTTGTTTTGGTACAATACATAGTTTCTATATTGGAGAATCACAGGCAAACTTAAGACTAGTTAGGATTCATTATTTTAAAACTCGTATTTCTGTGTTTATAGTCAATTGGGTGAGTGTGTGAGTGTAAGTGTGAACCACCAGGTGGTTTTCATGTAGTTAGCTGACGGGGTGTATCAGGGAGATAAAATGTTTTCTAATGGTAGTTTTGAAATTGATGAAAGTGACTTCAGTTCTAGAGTTTTCAGGTAGGGTGTTCCAGATTTTAGGCCCTTTGACGTACGTTAAATTTTTGTAAAGGTTTAGTCGGACACGGGGAATGTCATACGGATGTTTGAGTCTGGTGTTATGCCTGTGGGTCCTCTCACAACTATCAAGAAAGCATTTTAGGTCAGGGTTAATACTGGAATTTTTCACAGAATGTCATAGAGATGTTTGAGTCTGGTGTTATGCCTGTGGGTCCTGTCAACTCTCAAGAAAGCATTATAGGCCAGGGTTAATATTGGAATTTAAGGTCCTGTAAATGTAGATTGCACAGTAGTAAGTGTGGATGTTCTGAACAGTAAGTTTAGATCTATGAAGAGTGGGGTGGGGGTGTTACCTGGAGTTGGGATTGCGTGATTATTCTTACTGCGGCTTTTTGTTGGGTTATTGTTGGCTTTAGGTGTGGTGCTGCAGTTGATCCCCAAGCACAAGTAGCAGTATAGTGAATGGTACAGTGTGAGAAGGCAGTTTGCAGCATGTAGTATCGTATCTTGGAGAGGATCCCAACCGTTTTGGATACTTTTTTTTTGTTATATGTTGGATATGGGTGCTGAAATTCAGGTTGTTGTTGAGGTATAGGCCTAGGAATTTGCCCTCATTATGTCTGGCATTTAGATTGTTGTTGATCTTAATGTTAAGATGTACAACACCTGCTCTGCTACTGAACATAATATAGTAGGTTTTGTCAGTGTTAAGTGTAAGTTTATTGGCTGTCATCCAAGTCGATATTTTGAGCAGCTCCTTATTAACCCCTTCAGGGTCCAAGGCCAAAATCTGAAGTGGTGCTCCAGTGTCCAAGAAATTTTGAAAAAAAAAAAAAAAATTATTTTCTCTTACAGAATTAAAGAGTATATTTTTGTGAAGGTAATAAGACAAAAAAAAAATATTCTGATCAGTACTTACCGAGATACAGTCCCGAGAAGTTTACCCAAAATGACCGGGTGGCGGCAACATTGACGATTTCCACATACGCACATTACTTTATTTAACGTTTTTTGTAGTTTTTTCTTTTCTTCTCTAATTTTCTTTATTTTCTTACTAACATTTGGGGCCTGAGAGACCAATACTGTATATAATGTACAGTGGACCCCCGCATAACGATCACCTCCGAATGCGACCAATTATGTAAGTGTATTTATGTAAGTGCGTTTGTACGTGTATGTTTGGGGGTCTGAAATGGACTAATCTACTTCACAATATTCCTTATGGGAACAAATTCGGTCAGTACTGGCACCTGAACATACTTCTGGAGTGAAAAAATATCGTTAACCGGGGGTCCACTGTATATATATAAACTCATTGTATTGAACACAATAACCACACTAAAGTTATTATCATATTATGTATTCTTTACCACTTTTGCTTATTGCAATAAACATGCACAAATCTTGTATAATACTAATGTTCTATCATATATTTACATATTTACAATCACTGGACATGGTTTTAGAACTGCTGGAGCTTGTGGAAGTCCTTGAAACAAGGCACCATGCACAGAGGTACCTTACATTCCTCACACATAAACCTAGTGTCTTTGCATCTTTGTTGCCTTTGTTTTGTTTGTGCAAAGACAACACATCTCTTCTGAGCAAATTTCTTCTTAGTTGAAGGAAGGTGTATTATGAAATGATCACCTTCCCTCCTCAATTCGAGGACCTTGTTGTAAAGCACATGTTGTTACCTGGTACTTCATTATGAGCACCTGTGTTGAGCCTGGGCATATGTTTACGATTAGAACGCACTGTGCCACACACATCTGTCTTGTTCACTTGCAAGAAATCACTAGTAAAGGGCTTGTGTACCAGTTATCGGTATATAATGTATGCCCCTTACCAAGATAAGGTGCCATCATGCGTCACCTGAGATACCCAATAACATCTTGGTATCTTTCAATGTTTTGCATCCAGTGTATACAACAATATCCAATACCAGACCACTGTCACAGTCACAGAGTACAAACAGTTTTATACCAAGTGTTTCCTCTTGCTCGGTATATACTGCTTGAATGACAGCCTACCTTTGAACAAAATCAAAGACTCGCCAATTACAAGATTCTTGAATGGATAAAAGTACATGCTGAACTTTTGTTTGAGATACATAAAAACATTTCTAATCTTGTATAACCTGTCACTTCTGTCAGGCCTGGTTTTGTCAGAGAAGTGCAACATACGTAACAGTAAGATAAACCTGTTCACTGGGTGGATTTCACTGAAGACCAGGGTAGAAATTAGCCGATCTGTGGACCAGTATGCTTTTATATTATGCTTATAGACGAGGCATAAGCATTATTGTTGCAAAAAGCAAAAACATTTCGGCAACAGTCGTCTCTTTCCACCGGTGTAGTCTTGACTGTGGTGATATCATTGTATTTGCCATGGTGTACTCAAAATACTTGTACTTTCCCTGACAATAATTTCCATCAAGGGCTGATCAAAGAATATTTTAAAAAATTCCAGTTCATTAGCCATGTTTCCAAGGGAACAAGCAGGCAGAATTCCACTTTGAGAGTCATCAAAGTGGTGGGGCTTGGGAACAAAATTGGGATTTTGCTGCCAATCCCAGATACGGTTTGCTGGTGGATACTGGACATCATAGGCTGGTTGTGCAGGTAGTTGTAGTTGTGGTGGGCTGGTGGCTGATGCTCTGCTTTGTCCTTGAACTGTAGAGTCAGCAGCATTTATTTATTTATTTATTTATTTATTTACAATTTGAGCACACATACAGACGTACAAAAAAATACAGATAAGAGCAGCATGCCAAAGCCACTTATACTATGCATAGCATTACGGGCTGGCTTAAAATTAACTTAAGATTAACTAAGCAATGATGAAATCAGTGATAAAACATTATTGTAAACAGATAACTATAAAGCACAAGTGAGTATTACAAAGACAGGTCATAAGGTTGCTTGCATTGTTGTACATTCAGTCATATGGAGTATTCTGTTAGGTAGTGTATTTAAAAAATAATAAAGTTAGATTGGGTTTTAGGTTTAACATTTATGTGATATAATTGTGAGAAACATTTAAGACATACAATTTATAAGGTTCAGGTATTCAGTATTTATTTGGTTTTGGGTGAGTAAGTGATCTTTGAGAAGAGACTTGAATTTATAAACAGGTAGTGTTTCTTTTATATTTACAGGTAATGAATTCCAGATTTTAGGGCCTTTTATGTGCATTGAGTTTTTGCATAGTGTGAGATGGACACGAGGAACATCAAAGTGATCTGTGCCTTGTGTTATGGTCATGTGTTCTGTTGAGGTTGGCAAGGAGATGTTTGAGGGGAGGGTTAATATCAGAGTTAAGTGTTCTATGTATGTAATAGGTGCAGTAATAAGTATGGACGTTTTGTATGGTGAGTAGGTTTAGTGTATTGAATATTGGTGGAGTGTGCTGCCTGTAGTGAGAATTTGTTATCATTCTAACTGCAGCCTTTTGTTGGGTAATTAGTGGTCTGAGATGGTTAATTGTTGTTGAGCCCCATGCACAAATTCCATAGGTGAGATGGGGTAAATAAGAGAGTGATATAGGGCCAGGAGGGCTGACTGTGGAGCATAGTACCGTATCTTCGATAGTATGCCTACAGTCTTGGAAATTTTCTTAGAAATTTGTTGTATATGTGTATGAAATTTGAGTCTATTATCAAGGTGGATTCCTAAGAAATTTTCCTCTGTTAGCTTTGTGATAGGTGATCCGTTTATCATTATGTTAAGAGGGACATCTGTAGCTCTGTTACAAACTGAATGAAGTAGGTTTTGTCAATGTTTAGTGTAAGTTTGTTAGTCCTCATCCAGGTAGATATTTTCTGTAATTCGGTATTTACAGTATTGGCTAGCGTGACTGGGCTCGGGTGAGAGAAGACGTATGTAGTGTCATCTGCAAATATTGTGGGTTTGAGTAATTGCGAAGCATTTGGAAGGTCATTTATGTATAGGAGAAAGAGAAGAGGGCCAAGGACACCTCCCTGTGGGACACCAACTGTAATTGGTTGTGCAGAAGAGTTTGCCCCATTTGCATACACATATTGGCTTCTGTTGCTGAGGTATGACTTGAGGTAGTTGAGGGAGTCCCCTCTTATACCATAGTGTGACAATTTTATGTGGAGCAAGTCATGGTCAACTGTATCAAAAGCTTTACGTAAGTCAATGAAGATCCCCAGTGGGACTTCTTTTTTCTCTATTGCAGTGTATATATGTTCTAGCATGTGTATAATAGCATCATTAGTATTTTTATTAGGCCTGAATCCAAATTGGCAGGGGTTGAGTATGTTTTGGGAGATAAGGTAGGAGTAGATTCGTTTATGAATTAATTTTTCGAAGATTTTTGAGAGAGGGTGTAAGTTGGATATTGGCCTATAGTTATTCAACTCTGTTTGGTCTCTT